CACTATCATCACCACCGGTCCACCACCACTTTGGGAAAAAGTCTAGGTAGGTACATATGCAGTCTATGTCATCAAATTATCATTTATTTATCTTCTAATCCTTTTGATTAGCAACTACAATTATCCCTAATAATTATAGAGCAATGCTACAAAATTCACATGAAATCCAAAAAATTATAATTCAAATGCATATCATTCCTTATACGAGTGAGTTTCATCAATTTTTTAAGCGAGACCCGTTCATCTGAGGGATGATATGCATTTAAATTTGAATTTTTAGATTTTATTTGAATTACGCAGAATTTTCCATAATTAAATTCGGTTTAATGAAGTGGTTGCTCCAATAGCCTGGTACAGTTGCCCACTGATTATTAAACTGGCATTTTGCATGAAGAAGTCTTCACTTCTGGGCAGGCAGTCGATTCTTTTTCTTTTTACACAAGATTTGCAAACTTCTTGTTCATGAAACATATATATTATTTATTCACATATTTAAGAATCACATCTGGATGTAGATTAAAGACTATATCAGGTTATTGAACTAATGATAACTAATGCATGGGACGTAGTCATTGGATAATTTTAGGTTTTCCATTATTCCTGTCACTGATGAATTTGTTGAGCCAGATTAAGAAACTCATGGGCCATATTACATAATATGATGGACTCTTATCTGTCTAATCATAGAGATCTGTTAAAAATGTTTTTGGAGGTTAAGGACAAGGACATCTTGTTTAGGCAGAGACATTAGCAAATAATTAACGTTGAAATACAAGGTTTATAGAATCATGGTGCAAATTCATCTTCTATATATATAGCCGAATATGTATATCATCAAGAGAGGGGTTGTTTTATTTCTTCACGCCTCTCATATATACATACTTAATTTAATAGTAACTTGGATGAAAGCATACCAACATGCACACATGCATCCATAGTACATAACAAATTCGTAGACAATGGTAGAAGGAGCACTTGAACACTTTATACTGATAATGGGTTGATCAAGGGTTGCCGCCTTTACCCCCAGATTTTCCTTTCCCTGGATCGTGAGCAGGATTGGATCCAGGATCATGATAATCCGCTAACATTGCACTGAAGACCCTTTTATCCACTGAAGACCCCTCTCTCAACTTCATCCGAGTATCCACCTTCACAAAAATGGATAAATAAGGTTCACATAATGGAAAAAGTGTTATACATATACATGAATGTATACAGGATGCTGGGGATACCTGATTATGCACGTTAGAGAGCTTCACAACATCTCTGATGCCTTCTGTCCTGCCTATAAGAGAAAGATAACAAGTTTTTTGTGTTATTTAAGCTCGCGCTATGAATTGTTAAGTTTACAATCAAAGAGAGATCTTACTTACTACTTAGTACTTACATACCTGAGGATGAGCAGAATAAGAGTAGGAGGAGTATGAGACAGAGAGTCTTCATGCTAGCTTAAGAGACAAGTAGTTGTGATTCTGGTTAATTTCTGGTGTTGCAAATGTAACTCATGGCTTGTGAGGGGATGGATGGACACATGCTTTTATTTTCAGCGAGAGAGAATGGAGCCAAGAGTGCCTGTCAATTATGCACTTCTTTCAAACAGCTTTTTCTGAATGATCATGAGCCATTTCCTGTACTCCACCACCTCAAAGTCAACTCTCTCTTGCATATATATATATATATATAATATATATATATATGACCTGTACGTAGAAATCAAATGTGAGTATATTTAATTTATCTATCAATGTGGAATATAAATTCTCTTTAGAGTCACGCTCTCTCTCATTCAAAACGGAAGCAAGCAAGCAAACAGACATAGGTTAAGGAATATTTCAAATGTGTGAGAGAGATTTGTTCAATCAACGATCTACAAATAAAAAAGAGAACAAATAATAGATGAAGTCACCATTCAAATATATTATACAATACAAATTTGAGTGTATCTACATCTCACAAGGCAGCTTGCATTGCAGCACTAGGCTTTGCCTTCTTTTCAGAATTTCGAACTGTCCGTATCCATTCAAATGGTCCTAGCATTAATATGGGCCACTAGAGCATGTTCGGTACAACTCCATTTGCACGCATCTTCTGCTACATTCTGACATGATCATCAATTGCACTGTTGAATTTTTCCTCCGCAGAAAACAACAACAATGAGCTGCACAACATGACTACGAAAGTTAAAGCTACGTATTTATGGTTAAACTAAGTGAACCACTATTATATATAAACACTTGAAAAGGAAACAAAACACTTTTAAACTCCATTGTACTAAAGGACTTATCATGTAGGAAGTACTCTTCCAAACTAATACCTCAATTAGAAAAATATTAGCAGATTGAGAAAACATTTGTACATGAATTATTGTTGTCGGCAAAAAGAATAAGGACCATACACACTAAACTCAAGTACAAAAGTCAATGACGGAAGTAGCCACACAAACAAAAGAAATATTTTTTAAAAATTCCCCCCCCCCTTTCCAGTGAATTTTCTATCAATATTTCTTGCAAGTAATAATTATCTTTTACCACACATGGTTTTCCAATTCATTCCCCCATGTGCTATGGATCTAGATTATCCCCATTATTTTTTTAACACAATTTCATTCAATGCTAAATTATCTACCGTGTGCAGGTGAGGAGAAGTCCACATATTTTTTTATATCTTATTCATGATACGGAGCATATCGATAAATCTCACGTAAATATATAATAAATGATCTATCATTGAATAAAATTATGCAAAAAAATAATACAAAGAACTCATTCAATGTTTCATCATGCATCCAGTGGGAAGTTGTTATCATTAATTCACATGGCTGTCCCTTTTTTTTAGGTTATGTCCTTTTCTTTGAAAGGGACGAAACCAGAATGCATAATATGGATAACCAATTCAGTTAACTCTATTTAGTTTTGGTATATATGCATTTGATATTAGAGTAATATTAGATAAACTTAAAAATTAAATTTTATAAATTTTAAGTATTGAATAGATAGTAAGTCCTAATAAATGTCAATTACGTTGATTTTGTTAATTCCATTTTTTTTTTGCTGAAAAATAATTAATTGTGATATTTTAACATGTTGGCAAAAAATAATTCGTACTGTGTGCGGGTAATTGCTAGATTTGGAGGTGTTATGCAATGCGCGCATATTTACATAATTAACCATGAAAGTTATAGGCAGATTTTGCCAATGTGGTGTGCACTATTTGTAATGCATGCCTTATCACCCTAAACTTTCCTTCTTTTATAGCCTTTTGTCGTGCTCCTGTCCCTTTTATCATGGTATTTGGTCAAGTTTTTGGTGCTGTTCAAAAATCATCTCAAATGGAGTCCCTGGAGTATACACAAGTGATCAGAAATTTTCCACCATTGTTGTTGAATAAAATTAGGACCACTATATATATATATATGGTGGTAGTCACATCATACAAGTCAGAGCAACTTTGTGCAAACTTGACTTTCCGAATGATTTACATTTTTGTTATGGAATTAGGTCTTGGTCATCTTTATATAGTTTCATACGTGCTGCTGCTTAATTGACATCAGTTGTCGTGGGCATTTTCAGATTATGCCATGTCCTGTGCTTTTTCTTTCCTTTCTTGTAGTTTTATTTTTCATTCATGAATGCCCAGTTTCCCTGCACGCTAAGTTCATATAGATATAGAGAAATTATGAAATTTAAACCGTATTGTTTTTGGATGAATAGCTCTAACTCATGCTTGTTTACTTCAACGAGAAATGTAATATTAACACTAGTATAAAATCACGTTAATGTTATGATTTTATTTCTAAACGCAAGAGAGATGTAGTAGTGTAAAGAAAGAAAATCACAAAGGGGCAAAAATGAAATTTGTTCCAAAACTATAACGAAAAATGATGCATTACTGCACATTTCAAAAACACTAGAACCTCAAGACTACCTCAAATGGTAATAGAGACGAGCAGTAAATTTAGACGTTATGAGTTTGAATATTTATTTTTAATGAATATTCTAATCTCGATGTGAATAATTTGTCTTTGATCAAATTGGAGAGAGCATTAGTCGAGGTGCACGTAAGCTAATTTGAATCCTCTTTATGTACATTTTGACTAATCTCCTCTTTGATCTAATAAAAGACATATCATCTTCACTGTTCACTGTGACTAAAATATTTACAAGGATAAATCCTTCCTGTCGCTGACATGACCCATAGCCCCTTATTGACTAGTATCCTATCATGGGCAATCGAGCTTCGGACCGACCCGTGGCCTATGGACTCCTACGTAGCAGTACTAGTAGAGCTGCGCCAATTCCGTGTGGGCTTCGTAGAACTGGGCCATTTCGGTGAACGGGCTAAATGGACTTAGCCCGTTCGCTATTCCATTTGATAGTGAAAATCCGGGTAGCAACCTAGACCTTTTTCCATTAAAGAAATAAACGGCTAGGATCATTTCAGCACTAGATCCATCGCTATTGGCTAGACTTTTCCGTCCTCGAATTCTCATTGGTCCACGTCTTGAAGAATGACATTCATTTCAATTAGCCTTGATGAACCAAACGTGTTAAACCAATAGACATTGGTCCACGTCATCAAGAATGACATGCTCGTTCTTTTCGATTTTCTGATGTGAGTGCGGACAACAGATCCAAATCACTTAATATATACTTCCAGTTCCAGAGGCTTCACGAAGACCAGTTTATTAATCCCTCAGCGTTACCCCCAGTCGAACACAGAACGGAAGCTCATTATCTCATCAATCATACTAATTCTGCATTTACATCTGTGTATACAGTGACATTGTGTAAAGCTATAGAGATAGAAGGTTGCTGTTGAAGCGATGGGTGGCTCCTGGAGGCGAAACGGGTCGCTGATCGTAGTAGCAATCGTCTTCTTCGGTAAATGCTATTATGTTCGCTTACATTACAGATCTGATCGATTCGTTCTCTATACGTTATATTTTTGTGATTGATTTGCTCTTGTTCGTTGTCGACAAATGTATTAGATCTGAACGGTTTGGCAGGTGTAGATTGTTTTTAATTTCATATAGCTCTTTCATGTTCTAGTTGATCAAAACTTGTAACAATTTTTGAATTTCAGATCTGATTCGTGAGAATTTTTGTGCTGTTACGTAAAAATGTTTTATGGATAGATAAAGTGATTGATTTAGGTTGAGTTGAACGCCATATTATGAGTCAACTTTAAAGTTGAGCTATTGCTTAAGGGGATGCTGTTCTGGTGATTGAGGCTATGATGTTTCTAACTGTAAATGCTGAACAGATGTCTTTATTGATGATCTTTGCGATCACAAAACACCTTTTTTACTGCAATTTCGATTGCGAATTTAATTTTTGTAAAACCTCAAAAATTTTGTTAAGCACCTTTTTGCTGATTCACAAATACAAACACGAAATGTTTTGCCTATTTTATATTTTGTCGTAGCATTCATGATGCATGCCTTTTTTTTCTTTCCCATTATGATTAGATCATTTGCAAAATTTTGAAGGAATTCTGTAAGTCACATTCCCAATCAGAACAGAACTCCATTCAACATTCAACATTCTATAAGGAGATTTTGCATCATGAATGAGATTTTTGTGAATTTCTAACAACAGTTTTACTAATGCACGTTTTTTTCTGCAATACAAACTAAAGCACGTAAGTAACAGGCATTATATGCTTCTTGCCCACAACACAAGCCATATGTTTTCAAACTCGTCTTCATGGATGAAAAGTGCTAGGAAATTTACAATTTACACTGTATTCGGCAGTCATGCTTTGAATGAGCAATCTTGAGGGTCTGATGTACCCAGTTTGGACTTAAATAGCCTCTGTTAATAGTTTTTAAATTGTGATTTGTATCGGGAATCAAAATCCTAAATTTTGAGAATCGTGAATAGTAAGATTCGATATAAAATTTTAAAAAAATAAAAATAATATCTACATATTTAAAATAGGCAAGATATTGAATATTGAACATTATTGTATTATAAAAATACTCAATTGACATTATCACGTTGTCTAAATGAAAAAACGCTAGCCTTTTGATTGATTCATTTTCATCTTTTGATTAACCATTTTCAAAATGAACATTATTGCATTCTAAAAATAATCAATTGACGTAATCTCATCGTCTAAACGAAAAGATGCTAGTCTTTTGATTCATTTTTATCTTTTGTTTAACTATTTTCAAATTCAACAACTTGAAAAAATAAATTTTATTAAAAAACCATAGTTATTCAAGAACAAAAACGATGACACCTAGTGCAAATATGGTTACAAACATGAATGGAAAACGAAAAAATAGGGAAATTGATTTTGGAAAAAATGTCCAGGCCAACATTTTAAAACAAAAAATTAAAACCTAACAACCTATTCATTAAGAAATTGAGAGCAAAAATCAATGTTTATTCTGAAATATGATAACAAGATATAAAAAAATCCAACGTAAAAAAAAGGAAGAAAAAGTGCATGCTAGGTTTTGCTTACTCTTAAGAAAAAGTAGAGGAGCAAGAGGCATACCTTCAGTCGATGACGCAACAGCCTTACCTGAGTTTTAGACGACGCAACAGAGAGGAAGAGAACGAGTAAAGAGATTGAATTTTTATTAGGGCATGAGTTTCTCTACAAATAA